AGCATTAAACAGAAAGATTATCTTGGATTATCTGGGTGGGTCTAATGTAATCACAAGGGTTCTTAAGAAGGAAAAGTTAGAAAAGGTGTGACCATGAGAGAGATGAAACACTGATGGCTCTGAAGATGGAGGAAGGGGACCAGGAGACATGGAGCAAGCAGCTGCTAGAAGCTGGTAAAGACAAGAAAACAAAATTTTCTCCTTGAGCCTCCAGAATGAAATACAGCCCTGCTGGCACCTGGACATTATTATTTTTTTAATTAAATGATGGTGGTTATTTTGTTTTATTAAATTATCTGTGTACATATTTTAACATTGCCCCCACTCCCATACATACCTCCCTCCCCAGAGTTTTATGTCCATTGGTTGTACTTATATGCATGTATACAAGTCCTTCGGTTGATCTCTTATCTCCCCCAGATCTCCCTACCCTCCCCACTGTAATTTGACAGTCTGCTTGTTGCTTTACTGTCTCTATATCTTTTGGTTCATCAGTTTATAATGTTCTTTATTATCCATAAATGAGTGAGGTCATGTGGTGTTTCTCTTTCATTGACTGGCTTATTTCACCCAGCATGATGTTCTCCAATTCCATCCATGGCACCTGGACTTTAGCCCAGTGAGATACCATTCAGACTTTTGACCTCCAGAACTGTAAGGCAAATTTATGTTGTCTTAAAGTCACTATGCTTATATCAATAGTAATATGTTATGGCAGCAATAGAATATTAATAGCTCTAGCTGGTTTTTCTCAATGGTTAGAGTGTCAATCCAAAGACCAAAGAGGGTCACAGGTCAAGGGCACATACCTCAGTTGTGACACAAGCAGGAGGCCTGATAGCTGTCGAAGGAAGAGAAAGGCAATGAACCCCACTCTAAGTATTAACCCCCAAATATTCTGACTGTGTGGACAGCACAGCCTCAGCTTATAAAAAGTTTATGTGCAATCTACCCCAATATATGTAAAAATTCAGGCCCTGGTCAGGTACCTCAGTTGGTTAAAGCATTGTCCCAATACACCAAGGTTTCAGGTTCCATCCCCAGTCAGGGCATATAGAAGAATCAACCAATGAGTGCATAAATAAGTGGAACAACAAGTCAAGGTTTCTCTTTATATATTTAAAAAAAAAAAAAAAAAGTCAATAGATTAAAAAATAACTCATATTCACATAAAATTGTATCCGTCTTCAAATTCATTCTTTCAGATATGGAAGAAAATATTTAGTCCCTCAGTGGTAGCCAGAGGGATGGCCAAGTTTACACTAAGTCAGAGATCGTCTCCTTGCTCAAGTCAAGGCACAGGGTCATTGGCCTTACAGGGGCCATTGGCCTCCAAGTGGCCTTTGCTTTTCTGTGCTCCCGGGATTGCAGGCTTGTCAGAATCGTTGGTTTTTAGGTTATCCAGGAGATCTGGGTCCCAGAGAAAACGGGCACTAGTCACACTCACATAAAGCTGACTTGTAACAGAGTTCATTTCATAACTTTCAGAGTGAAAGAGCTCCGCTCCTAGGGAAGAACGAGGCTCCTGGGAGATCACAAGGCGGTCGGCTGCCACTGGAGATAGGACTACCTGGGCATGGACCCTTTCTCCTCCAGCCAGGCCAGAGCACAGCCCCTCCACTTCTGAGCCACATGTCAGTATTCTCCGTTGCCCTCTGCTGGAAGACAGCACAGACGGCGCAAAGTGCATGGGCCGTGGTTGGGATAAACGTGTTTGAATTCTGGTCCTGCCATTACTGGCTCCGGGCCTTGGGCAGTTCATCTCTCCGTGCCTCCGTTTCCTCACCTGCAAAACAGCTGTGCTTCACAACACTGCTGTGAGAATTAGTAAATTTTGTGAGGAAAGGTAAGCATAGTAGGCACCTGATAAAGACATTTGTTCTTTTTCCTTTTGTTTACAGCAGCATTTGTGGCTAAGGAACACAGGACTTAAGTCCAGAAGAGCTCAGCCTAACTTCCAATTCTGCCACTTAGCATTCTTGGGGGGAAAGAAACACGGTTTACCACCTACTTTACTTCAGGTGCTGTGCTGGTTCTTTATACTGTTTTTTCTTTATTCTGAAGATGATAGATATTAGTATTTTTCATTATAAGAAAATGGAGTTCAGAGAGATTAATTTATCAAGGCAATACAGCTGGCAGGAGATTGGACTAAGATTTCAACCCAGAAAGTCTGAATCCATTTTCTTGCTCCAAAAATCATCAATAACCAGGCTGCTTGGGGGAAGCAGGGAAGAGGGTAAAAGTGATTGAAGATTGGGTTAAGCGACCCATTCACTAGGGTTCTATTTCCAGCTCCCAACTTCATTGTATCCCCAGCTTTATTAGAGGTTATACTTGAAACACACGATAACGATAGCTGTTATCCAGCCCTCCTTTAGTTAAAATGATACAAGTTTTAAAATTAGCAGTCATGTAGCTCTGGCCAGTTAGCTCAGTTGGTTAGAGCATCAGCCCGATATAGCAAGGTTGTGGTTTCAATCCCAGGTCAGGGCACAAAGAAGAATCAACCAATGAATGCATGGAGGGAGGAGCCACAAATCAATGTTTCTCTCTCTCTCCTCTTAAAAAAAAAAAAAAAAAAAAAAAAAAAGCAATAAAATTAGCAGCCATCTGGAACTTAGGGGACAGAGTGGCTCTAGGGTTCTTATGAAGAATCAGTGTTGCCTGTTCAACTCTGTAGTGTTGCAGCTTTGCTTGATTGCAATTTATAGCTGGAGACTTACTCTCCATTTGAACGAGCCCAGTTCAGCTTGAGTATCAGTCTCTCCGTCCCTACAAATCATCTATGGAGACAGCCCTGACCCGCAAGAAGACAAGAGCGCACCCAGATTAAACAGGCTTCGGGTTAATCAGGCTTGGTTTGGATATCTATTATTAGTCACATGATCATGGGCAAATTTAACATCAGTCTCTGCTTCCTCATCTATAAAACGGGGGGATAGTGACATCTGTGAGGAGTGAATGATACTTGAGTGTAAATTACAGCTTAACATGGTGCTGTCACATTCCACAAGTGTTAGTGAAACAACCCTGTAGTGGCAGCTTCTCAGGACAAGATCAAGAGCCTTAGGATTCTGGGTAACAGATGGGCCTGACTCTGCACCTTGGGCAATTCAGATCACCTTGCCTCATAAAGGGCATGACACATGAACATTTATTCCCCAGATCAGGGGTCCCCAACAAGGGAGAGGAAAGGGAAAAAGCAGAAACCCCTTACAGTTGTCAATTTGCCTTCCTTTTTCTCCCCCATCTCTTTTCATCGTGATTTTTCTGATTTCTGTGGTAATAGTTAAACAGTAAGGGTCAGCCTCCTTACCTTATTGACACAATTCGTGCACTGACATTCTAGGACCAGAGCCGAAGGGCAGTTTATTTTCCTCTGAGTCTGATCTCAATTCTTTCTCTTCCTCACCCTTTCTTTTCTAAGAGTATCTAGCACAGGCAGACCAGTCCAATAACTGAAAAGCTCATTTGGGGGAGATGAGTCGGGAGAGGAGGAACGTGTGTGTGTGTGTGTGTGTGTGTGTGTGTGTGTGTCCTTAAGGCAGAAAGGGACCGAGACTTTTCATTTCATTTGGGAGCATTCACAGCCTTATGTATATGGATACTTAAAATTACTCATCAGAAATTGATTTGCTTCTTTGCCTGTTTGGTATCATCTCAAAAGTCAAAAGCACAGGGATTTTTAGTCCCAGGAAAGAAACAACAATTATGGATCTTTCCATTCTGTTGAAAACTACCTAGAAATAACAATAATAATACATTATATCCTACATGCAAGGAGATTAGGTAATAAAATTGAGATGATGATGATTTTCTTTAGCTTGATATTCTGAGAAACTTTTCCAGGAAACCATAAACTCTGATTGAAGCATAATAAAGCTTTCACAGGTTACTTCTAAAGTTTAAAGCAGTAACTATGAAAAGTTCCAAGCCTACTCACTAAACCCATGAGAACATCTTTTTCCAATAATAGCTGCCTACATACAAACACATACACATAATCCCAGGTTAAAAAGTATTAGCGTTGTGATGGAGGCAGTTAAAGCAGAAGTATCTATTCCTAGATTCAAGCTCATGGATCAATATAATTAAATATTTCCATCCTTTTCATTTACCATTTTCATTCGCACTCTATTTGTGTCCCGATACATACATACCATCATGGAAGCACATAAGTCAAGTTGTTCAGGTTTAATGACTCCTTGGTTTCTTATTAACATTTGGACAGATCACTTCTGTCCCATTAAGTCCATGCACTGTTTGTAGTTTGTAGATAGTCTAGGTCACCCAGCCTCCCAGTGAGAACATTTTAATCAAATTATTCTACACATCAAAACCTCGCAAAACAGCTCTATGATGAAATAACAAAGGTACAGATTAGTAGTGAGTGGCAAAGCATTGGTCTTTAGGGTCCAAAGATCTCTATAACCAGCAAAAGCAGTTGGGGGGCAAAAAACAAATAGAGGGACTGACACTGAACCCCACTCTTCTGAGTCCCTCCTTTCCAGACTGCCTGAAAAATAAGCCATCTCTTCTTAAGTGCAGAATGAATCTACTTATGCAACTCCAGATGTAAGAAACCACACAGGAAAAGGAAAGGTATAGCAACTCATGTGGGAAGATGAGAACTGTGGACTGAAACTCTATTACCTCCCTGAGTGAGTGGGCAAAATACCCTGGTGACAGTAACCATGAACACCTTACCCAGAATGCTACCCAAAGAGCAGCAAGAACCCTGGTCTGGCCTTGGCTGAACTTCCACGACTTTGCTGTGAGGGTCCCAGCAATCTTCCTCTTCCCTATAAACCTCTGAGCTAAGTTCTTACAGCCAGGCAGGATCAGAGCTTCCCAATAGGACCCCTCTCTGCAAGAAGCTATAATTATTTTTCTTTTTTTCTTTTTTTAAATTGATTTGAGAGAAAAGAGAGGGAAAGAGGGATAGGAACATCAATGATAAGAAAGAATCATTGTTCTGCTGCCTCCTACATACTCCCTACTGGAGATTGAGCCCAAAATCCAATCAAGTGCCCTCGCCAGGAATTGAACTGAGACCTCCTGGCTCCAAGCTCAACCACTGAGCCAGACTGGCTGGGCAGATTTTTTTCTTAATGCAAGTTCAACATTGAAGAAAAGGTAGCAGCCATTTACTTACAAATCGCAGGTCAACCATAGGCAGGCTGGTTAAGGGAGGGACAAGTGTGAAAGGTCTATTATAATCCTATCCAGGCCACAAGCAGGTCACTCAGGAAATCCCTAAGATCAAACTGGTGCTCAGGATTTTCTCTAGGGTGGTCAAAGTGTGTTTTGTGCAGACTGATTAGGTTGTACCCAGTCCTAACTAGACCAAGCTTCCCAGTTCCAGGATGAACTCACTATTCCGTGGCCCTCTGGACTAGTGGACAACCTGTCACTATTTCAAACTTCACGGCCCCTCTCCAGCCTGGATTTATATCCCCAGATAATTGGGGCAGCGGTGGGCCAGATTCAGGTGATGTTAGAGAAAACAGCTGGTCCTGTGAGTGTTTAGAAACTGCCTGAACTCCCTTTGGAAACACATTTACTCCTAGCTCTGTGCCAAAAAATAATTTGAAAATATTTGAAAATAATAAAAAATAAAAAGTCTTATTTTCAAATATTTTCCTACCACATCCCCAACTTTTGCACCCCTCAATATTAACCTCTCCTCCTCACACACACCACCATCCACCACCACCACCAAATGTTGTCCCAACACTTCCAGGATCTCTAGGGCCTGTGGATAAAGCAGCATTAATGGCATTTGGCAGAATGTCCCACCCCACTCTGAAGACTCCTTCCAGTTCAACACCGAAGAAAACGATAAGGTAAGAGAAGCGGCAGTAGAAACCGGAGTCCGTCTCTTCCCACGTACGAGGCACGGAAATTTCAGGAGTTAGTGGACATGACATCATCTCTTGCCAGAAGGCCACCAGCTACCACTGGGTGGGAGGTGCATTATCACTTGTTTCTCCTCTGGACTGAAATGCAAGATCGTCAGGATGGCCGTGAGCGTCTGCTGGCGGCCCAGGCTGTCCGGCAAGGTCAGGAAGCGGTAAATGATGTTTTTGAGGTACTCCAGATTGGCTCCCTCCCGACTCTGGTCCCTGGTGTTCTTCTCAATGTGGCTCTGGAGAACCCCAACCTCCTCTCGGTGCCGCTCCCCCTCCTCCAGCAGCCGCTCCTGCAGCTGATGCACCTCCGCCTCCAGCCTGTGTTTCTGCTTCCTCAGGAATGTGATCTCCACCTCCTTGCGGGCCAACTGCTCGGCGTACAGGAAGAACGTGGGCTCGTTGGCCGCAGCAAGCTGAAGTGCTTGGGTCAGGTTATCAGGGGAAGCTACATCAGCGGGGTCCCCGGGATCCCCACCACCCACAGGGCTTCTCCGTCCCGGCAGCACAGAAGACAACGCCACCGACCTCAGCTGCTCCAGCTCCAGGTCCTTCTCGGCCAGCACCGCCAGGGCCCGGTCCCGCTGCTTGTGCAGCTCCTCCTCCAGCTTCAGCGTGCGGTCCCTGAAGTCCAGCTGGCTCCGCTCCAGCTCCTGCCGGTGCTGATGCTGCAGCCGGGCCAGCTCCTGCTTCCAGTCCTCGGCCTCCTGCTGGTGCTGGCGCTCGAGCTCCTCGCAGGACAGCCGCAGCGAGATGTACTTCTCCTTCAGCTCCGCGAGCTGCTCCTGGGATTCCTCCAGCTCCTTGGCCAGGTTGCCGTCTTTGGTGTTCTTGCTCTTGAGGACGACCTGGGCCCTCATCTTGTACCTCTCAAACTCCTCCTTCAGCTGTTTCAGCTCCTGCTGGTAGTAGAGCGCAGTAGCCTTCTCCCCGTCCGCAGCCTCGGAGCTGGGCATTATCTCCAGGTGGCAGAGCTTCTCCACATCCAAGGTCACCTGGCTTTTCCTGGCTGCCACCTGCAGCAGCCTCTTCAGCTTCTCCATCTTGTCCTTCAGGACATTGACATCCAGACTGGACTCTTCTGCATGGCTGTCTAGAGGGGACCGGCTAGAGACTGCGAGAGCCAGCGTCTTGTTCTCCAGGTCCAGCTGCAGAATGCGCTCCTTCAGCTTCTGGATGGCCAGCTGGTCCTTCTGCTTGGCTTTCTCATAGGTGCCCAGCAGCTCCGACACCTCGGATATTTGGTTCTCCAGGGCTGCCACCCTCTTCTCTTCCAGCTGAGATTGCTGGCGGAGTTGATCCTCTGCAAGGGCTGTCTGTAAAACAAGGGAACAGTTAGAAATCCATCCAGAATGGCCACGAAGCTCTATGGCAAGCTTTGAGAAAGCAAGATAGGAGAGCAAAAGGCCGGGGACTGACCTGACAGGAATGGGAACTGGGGATTTTTCTGTTGATTTAGGCGCTCACAAAAGTTCCTGTAACCTGCCAAAACCAGTTTGGCTCAGTGGATAGAGTGTCAGCCTGCAGACTGAAAGGTCCCGGGTTCGATTCCGGTCAGGGGCACGTACCTTGGTTGCGGGCACATTCCCAGTAGGGGGTGTGCAAGAGGCAGCTGATCTATATTTCTCTCTCATGGATGTTTCTAACTCTCTCTCCCTTCCTCTCTGTAAAAAAATCAATAAAAAATATATTTAAGCCGAGACCGGTTTGGCTCAATGGATAGAGCGTCGGCTTGCGGACTGAAGGGTCCCGGATTCGATTCCGGTCAAGGGCATGTACCTTGGTTGCGGGCATATCCCCGGTGGGGGGTGTGCAAGAGGCAGCTGATTGATGACTCTCTCTCATCGATGTCTCTAACTCTCTGTCTCTCTCCCTTCCTCTCTGTACAAAATCAATAAAATATATTTTTTAAAAATATATATATATATATTAAAAAAAAAAAAAAAGTTCCTGTAACCTGCTAGGGTTCTGCTCTCAGCCACAAGTTATACCAAACAATATTAAGAACCTTTGTATATCAGCCCTTTTTCTTATCCTTAGTGCTTTCACTTTCTCCCATTACACCTTCAACTCATATTAAATATGTTATCCTTGTGTATCATGTACTTTCCCAAATCCTATTAAGAAATCAGGTGACATTCTTTTCCTCTCCAATATTTTTGGGAGGTTCAAAACTGAGTTGGATCTCTCTCCACACTGAACAGAGGCACTATAAAAGAGCATACCTTTAGAGGCAAATCTTGACTAAAAGCAATTACAAGAGGTTATTTTTTTCGAAGAAAATTCCCATTGCCCCCTTCGGCCATTCTCCCTGTAGGCATATCCTGCTACCTACAAATACGCATATACCTACAGGCAAACATACTGCCTTTCACTGCTCAGCTGCTACGATATGCTTCACAGAGCACAGCTGGTAAGATGCCAATGCCCAGAAACTCAGAGCTATCTGGCTCCAACCCAGCTGACACTCAGAAGCTCCACATCCTGTTGGAAGCATACTCTGTGGATACTGTCAGCACCACACAGAACAGGAATTCCCAGTACTCCCAAATAAAACTTTCTGAGTAGCATCTAAAACTGACAGTACAGCCGAAACCGGTTTGGCTCAGTGGATAGAGCGTCAGCCTGCGGACTGAAAGGTCCCAGGTTTGATTCCAAAGGCATGTACCTTGGTTGCGGGCACATCCCCAGAGGGGGATGTGCAGGAGGCAGGTGATCGATGATTCTCTCTCATGGATGTTTCTAACTCTCTATAAAAAAACAATAATATATACATTTAAAAAAACAAACAAAAAAAAATCCTGACAGCACAGCCACTATCAAAGGAGGAAGAAGGCCTTAATATTTCCCACTTCAGGCTAAATGACTGAAGGAGATGAAGATAATTACCTTCCTCATTTCCTGCTGCAATTGGGCCTGGAAATGGCTCTTGAGGCAGGCGGCCTCTTCCTGAAGCTTCTGCAGCCGGGGGTCTGGCCGACTCTTCTCAGCTCGAAGCGCCTGCAGCTCAGCTTTGAGGTCCTCCACCTCGCGGGTCAGCTGCTTAGCCTGCAGTTCAAACCCTTCCATCTGACCAGCGGCGTGTGCCCGCCCGGCCAGGGCTTCTCGGGTCTCTTCCAACCGGAGCTCCAAGTCTTGGCGCTGGGTCCTCTCTTCCTGCAGCAGTTTCTGGAGCTCCCGCAGCATCACGGCATGGTCGCTCTGCTCCTGGGCCCGATCGTGCTGCTGCGTGATGAGTCTGGCTTTGGTTTCTGCTATCTGCTCCTGCAGCTCCTTCAATTCTCCCTCCAGGCGCTCCCGCTCCTCCTCTGCCTTTTTACTGGCATCCTCCAAGTCCTGTTTCATCTTCTTCTTGTCAGCCAGGTAAGAAGCTTCCATGCGGGACTTTTCCTGGGTGACTGTGGCCAAAGAGCTCGTCAGAGTGGCCAACTGAGTCTTCAACTGGTGCAATCGTTTGTCCACCTCCCCGCCCGCCGGCTGTCCGTCCCCGCTGCTAGTGCTAACACCACTCTCGGACCCACTAGCCTCTTCAGACTTGAGAGGTGGTGGCCCACGGGCCAGCCTGTCATCTTCTGCCCCAAGCTCACCCTTGGTGCTAGTGAGACTGGCCGTGGTGTCCAAGCTGGTGGCGGTCCCAGTGCTGTCCTCGCTGTGAGTGGAGCACCGGTCATCCACGCAGTCGGGAGAGGTGTGGCCTGGAGGCTGGGCACCTGCGAGGCCCACATCCGCCTCGTGGGATACGGATAGCACCTTGATGCTGGCCTCCAGAGCCTCTTTCTCTTTCAGGAGGCTCTTATAGGCGCGGACCACATCCTTGAGCCGTGCCTGGTACTGGAGGAGCTGCTTCTTCTGGCTCTCAATGGTCTCCAGCAGGTCCCTCTTGCTCGGGCCAGCCCCGAAATTCATCCCGAACTTCTCCATGAGGATTCAGAACTGGTCGTTCCACGTCAGCGTTTGGACAACCTGGGTAGAGAGAGTCACGATGACGCTGGCAGATGTTGTGGTCCCCGAGGCCGCATATCCGCTCCTCCCAGTTTCCGAGACCACCGAAGCGGGGCGGCGGGGCGGCGGGGCAACCTGGCAGAGCGCACCCAGGTCCCTACGCCCAGGCCGGGGGCGGGGCGGATCCTAGAGGCGGGGCGGCGCCAGCACCAGAGGAGCGCGCTTCCAGGCCCCCCCCCCCCCCACTGTCCCAGCAGCCGCTCCGGCTCCTCGCTCGCCGGGGCGTCAGCAGCCCCGAACGGGCCTGCGCCCACGGTCCGCGAGGGTCTGAGCCGAGCACAGCAGCCCCATCACGACTTCCTAACCGCAGAGGCCCGTAGGGGCGCTTCCGGGTCCGCCGGAAGTGACGACAGCAGGACGCCAGAGACTCCGCCCCCGGCGGGCACGGAGTGGGCGGGGCTACTTCAGCCCCTGAGGCGGGCCGCCCGCTGAGAACCTAGCGGGGCTGCAGGGGGACCGCGGCCGCGGAGAGCTCAGCTCGCGCAAGTGGAGGACACGCGGTGCTGCTGGTTTCAGGGCGTTCGCCTGAGCTTGCCCTCAGGCTGCGATCAGCAGGGGACAAGGCGACGTCGCACTGTCCTTACCAAATATTGGGGTGAGCGAAGCTCCCATTGTTTCAGGGATCAGTACTTTTGCACCTAAAGAGCAGCAATGAAGACTCCCATTTAGACCATGAAAACAGCAACCCTTCCTAGGCCAGCCTTTGGCACCTAGTAGGCATATACCATAATAATTATGAGCACCCCTTCTGAATCTGCTGAGTTGATTCAACAAGTGTTTGTAGCCAAAACTGGTTTGGCTCAATGGATAGAGCATCTGCCTGCGGACTGAAGGATCCCGGTTCAATTCTGGTCAAGGGCATGTACCTGGGTTGCGGGCACATCCCCATAGGGGGTGTGCAGGAGGCAGCTGATCGATGTTACTCTCTCATCGATCTTTCTGATTTTCTATTCCTCTCTTCCTCTCTGTAAAAAATCAATAAAATATATATATTTTAAAAAATAAGTGTTTATAGAGGGCACCCGATAGCCAAAACGTCTTTCCCAAGTGCCAACAACTCTATTCCAGAAGCTTCACTAGAGTTTTGCTGTGTAGTCTTACAAATAATTCTGCTCAAGGGGGTATCATTAGCACTGTTTTACAGATGGGGGAACAAGAAGCACAGAGAGGGTAAGTAGCATGCCCAAGGTCGCACAGTAAGTTTAGGAATCCTATGCAGATCAGTCCCACTCTCAACATATCAAATGCCATGCCAGGTAATCACCATGGAGAGACAAGGTCCTGCCTTCCAGGAGCTGGCATCTAGTGAGGGACCAGGCCTGCAAATATAAGTCCAGCCATAATATCAGTGTGTACGAGTATATTTAACGTGACATGGAAATTAGGAGGGAGGGCTCTCTGGGGGAGGCAGAGAAGGCTGTCAAGGAAAATACTTTGGGATCTGTAGGATGAGTAGTGATTGCCCATATAACTAGAGATGAGGGAAACAAGTATTCCAGGCAGAGGAAAAAGATTGCAAGGACTCCTAAGGCTTCAGGGAGCCTGGCTCACCTGGAAAGCATTGAGAGTCCTCTCAAGGCAGTAGTTTAGGGTATGTGAAGGAGGTGGCAGAAGATGGGGCTGGCGTATGGACCCAAATTAAGGCATGTAGATTTTTGTCCTGGGTGATAATACACTAATTTTTAATTGCAAGAGTGGCATCATCAAGACTTGTATGGCTGGGTAATAATATCAAGGGGCAGTTGACCTGTGAAGAAGCTAATTCAATCATGAGAAGAGATAGTAGTGAAATAGGGCAGTGACAACAGGGAGAAGAAAGAGGTTAATGACAGAGCTAAAGATGTAGAACTGATCTGATTGTTCACTACGAGTGTGTTACCATGCTGGGACTCTTTTAAATGTATTCTTTGGCCTTGTAAAAGCCTTCTTAGGATTGCAAGTCAGTCCCGCCCTCGTTCCAGGAGCTGAGAGGGCAGAAGGGAGGACTAAGGTCTCAGCACGGAGCTTCCGCATCCCTGAGAGGGTGGTACACACAGTCGATGCTGCTGGTTACTACGTAGGAGCTAAGCCGGAGCCCAGAGTGAGCTGAAGGCTGCAAACAAAAGCCCTGCGGCCGCCCGCCGGGGATGACGGGGAAGGGGGCCACCGTGCAGAGGTGACGGCTTTCCTCGGCCCCGTTCGGATACCGGTCCAGCAGCCGCAGATGTGACCGGCGCGCTGGAATCAGGTGGGGAAACCTGACCCTTTCCTCCTTGAAGCTGGCGCGGGACGCAGCCTGGAGCGGACACTGTCAGCTTCAGTTTCTCCTGGAGCCGGAGCCGCGGGGCGGGGCTATGGGCGGGGCCGGTCGTCGGGGGAGGGGCTATGGGCGGGGCGGGCGGGGCTGTGGGCGGGGCGCGGGGCCGGCCGGCGGGGGCGGGGCCGCAGTGACGTAGGGCGGGCCGGGACGCGCGGAGGCGGTGGCGGCACCTCCTCCTCCTCCTGCTGCTGCCGAGCCCCATCCCCCCGCGACCGGCCGGTTCCAGCCTGCACCCCCGTGTCCGTGCCCGTGCCCCCTCCCCCGGGCCCCGCCATGGGCCTCACCGTGTCCGCGCTCTTTTCTCGGATCTTCGGGAAGAAGCAGATGCGGATCCTCATGGGTGAGGCAGATCAAGCGCGCGGCCCGGACGGGAGCGCTGGCCCCCGGCGCAGCCCTCCCTCCGCCCCCGGTCCCCCCAGCCCGGCTCACCCGACCACGGACCCCGAGTCACCCACTCCCTAGCCCCCCAGGCCGCTGCTCTCGGGCTGGTCGCGGTCTGCAGCGCCGACCCTGGGCCCTGAGACCGGGAGCTGCGGGCCTGGGTGGGGTGAAGCTCCCTCCGCCCCAGCCCGGCTGGTGAGAAGGGAGGATTCCGCCCTTGGAGACGACTTTTACAAGGAGCGGGACTCTCCCCCTATGACCTTACACCCCCTAGCCCTCCCCTGTCCCTCCCCCTCCGGCTTTGGGTTCAGGAGTTGGCGCTCACCAACCCAGACTGCGCTCAAGGCCCGGAAGGTAGACAACAGCGCTCACCTGAACGCTCTCGGCCCCTCGCCCCTTCACCATCATCAGCTGTCCTGGCCTTTCCCCTTCCCTGGTCTCTAGGGGGCTCCCTCGCTCCTCTAACTATCGCCATGCCCCTCTCCTTTGCAGTCGGCTTGGATGCAGCCGGCAAGACCACAATCCTGTACAAACTGAAGTTGGGGGAGATTGTCACCACCATTCCCACCATCGGTGAGTCCTGGAGGCAAGATTGGAGGAGCGGGAGCGCGGCTGGCCTCCGCAGGGTCTACCGCCCCGCTCTGCACCCCAGTCCTGGGAGCTGACACCAGATACAGCTACCTGAGAAGTGGGTCACAGTATCTGTACGCGTTGGATGGTGCCCAGGAGGGCTGGATGCGACCTAACCCCGCCCTCTTTGTGGACTGCTGGACTCTGGGCTTCTGATCCCTGGGGCCTTGATCATTGCCCTCTGGTTTTGTGTCCCTGCTGAATTCACCTAGTTTTAGTGAGCTCCTTCTTTTTGGGACCTTTTCCTCATGTTTTGTTTCCCCCCCCAATTATCTGCAGGCTTCAATGTGGAAACAGTGGAATACAAGAACATCTGCTTCACAGTCTGGGACGTGGGAGGCCAGGACAAGATTCGGCCTCTGTGGAGGCACTACTTTCAGAACACTCAGGTGGGGGCAGGGATGTCTCCCCCAACCCCCGCCCCCCCAGGTGGGGTTAGGGTTAGGAAGACCCAGATGTGGGCCTAATCTGGTTAAAACCCTGCTTCCTCAACTCCCCTCCCACCCCGTTTTGTAAGCTAGCTTCTCATCATCCTTCAGAATTGGCCTTAGTCTTCTGAGGCTCAGCCACCTTAGGGGTGTTCTGAGAAGCAGGGTTGGGGTCCAGGGTCCAGGCTGCCTGGTTTAGCTCTCCTCACCTCTCTCCCTGCTCCCACCTATGTCTTTTAGCTAGATTGCTTGCCGGAGGGCAGAAGCTGTATCCGTTACAGGGTGTCTCCGCTTGGTGCCAGGACATCTGCAGAGCCTTAGTGGAAGTTTTTAGAGACAGTTAGAGAAAGAGCCAGACTAAAAGTATGTTCTGGACGGGAGTGATTGCTCCACCTTCCTTTCTGCCCAGGGTCTCATCTTCGTGGTGGACAGTAATGACCGGGAGCGGGTCCAGGAGTCGGCTGATGAACTTCAGAAGATGGTGAGTGCCAGGGCCCTGGGACAGAGCCCCCGGCGTGGAGACAGATCTCTGTCGTGGTGTGGAGTCAGGAAATGCCTCCTCCCGGGCCGTGAATGTGTGTTTCTCTTTGTGGACACAGACACAAGGAGACTCTCACCCTGTTTTGAATAATTTGGGTCAGGTAACAAGTAGAGGGCATGGATTTTCACAGGTCTTCCCATCTAAGTCTGAGACGTTAGTGGGAACAGGGGACCCTGTGGTGGAGAGAAGCATCGTCTTACGTCCTTGCTTTTCCATTTTGAAATTTTGTCATTTTGATTAGGGCAGTTACTCAAATTAGAAAAGGCTCTTTCTAGACTTAAGGCCAGTGAACTATAACTCTGTCTTGTGTTCAGCAGTAAACTACACAGTATTCTGTTTTCCCCACAAATATGCTAGAAGCAGGAAAGGAGAGCTTTCCTACACAGCAGGGAAGAGGGAGCCTGGGGACCCCGAAGGACCCCCAGATTCCACCCCCTGGGCCTCTCTCAGCTGCAGGAGGACGAGCTGCGGGATGCGGTGCTGCTGGTCTTTGCCAACAAGCAGGATATGCCCAACGCCATGCCCGTGAGCGAGCTGACCGACAAGCTGGGCCTGCAGCACTTGCGCAGTCGCACGGTGAGGGTCCTGCCTCTCCCGAGGGAGCCGCAGGCTGGGCAGGAAGTGAAGGCCTCCCCCTCTTTCTTCCCTAATACTAACTAACCTCTTTCTTCCCTTCTCCCCGCAGTGGTATGTCCAGGCCACCTGTGCCACCCAAGGTACAGGCCTCTACGACGGGCTGGACTGGCTGTCCCACGAGCTGTCAAAGCGCTAACCAACGAGGGGCCAGCCCCTGCTGCCCGGAAGCCCCCGCGTGCATCCTGGGAGGACCAGACTCCCGGACTCCTCAGGCAGTGCCCTGCCCTCCTGCTCCTCCTCCCAGACACAGGCCTCTGCTCCTGCCCCTCACGCCTGCATGTTCTCTCTGTTGTTGGAGCCTGGAGCCTTGCTCTCCGGGCACAGCGAGGTCCACCCTCCTGCCTGCTGGGACCTGTGGAAGGGGCTTCCAGGGCCGAGACCATTTCTTCCAGAGGAGGAGCAGGGACCTGGGTTTACTTTTTTGTTTGTTCTGTTTGGGGTGTACCCTTGGGGCCAGGTGGGGAGGGGAGGGCTCCGGGTGGTGCTAAGATACGGCACTGGATATTGAGTAATAAATTTGCTGTGGTTTGTACATGATGTTGCCTGTAGCCTAGTAGTGGGGGCTGGGTTATTGGGTGCAACACGACAATACGGGGGAGGCTCAAAGCAGCTAAGGCTGCAGGGCCAAACCCCCTCCCTCCAAGCGCACACACATGCATTGCTGCCTCCATCTAGCTCAGCTGCTCCCTCCTTATTGAGGCTGGAAGTTCTGTAGGGGTTCCAGTGGAGGAAATCCTATTTCATCCCAATTCCAAGGGGCCTTTGCGGAGGGTAACAGGATCTAACTTCATGCTTCTGTGAACCACATAACTCTCATATCCTATCCATCTCCTGGGCCAGTGGTCGGCAAACACATTAGTCAAAAGAGTGGCAAACCACGGCGGCTTGCGAGCCACAGTTTGCCAACCACCGTCCTAGCCAGCTGTGGTTCTTAATGATTACTATCACATTAAAATTTTAGGGGGAGGAAACATTCATTAAAAACAAGAGTCCTGCGGTACACTGGAGAAAACATGAATATGCATCTTTAATGTCACCCAGCTGATTCTGTGATCTATTCGCCTTATTTTGGTAGGGCCTGGGGATTACAGTTCTTCACTATGCACCACTGGGACTCTTCCTACCTGGGTAGACACCCCCCACCAATGGGGAATAGGAACCAGGGCTGTGGGCTGTTCTCCGAGCGTGAGTCACTCTGCCCACTTCCCTTTGCATCCAGAGACTCTGGAAGCTGGGCTGGGATGAGAGGCAGCACGGATTGTCTGCGCAGCAGCGGTGCAGCTGGGAGTTATGATGGGCGCTTGGGACTCTCCCCTCCTGGGCTATTCTCTCCCCCTGCCCCAGAGCCAGCCTCTCCTGATGAAAATGAGTCATTTGATCCCTGCTGGTTATCTAGGGCATCCTCACCCTCCCTGAAAAGTACCTTCTGGTAGATTTTATTTATTTATTTTTAAAATATATTTTATTGATTTTTTTACAGAGAGGAAGGGAGAGGGATAGAGAGCTAGAAACATCGAGAGAGAAACATCAACCAGCTGCCTCCTGCACACCACCCACCGGGGATGTGCCCGCAACCAAGGTACATGCCCTTGACCGGAATCGAACCTGGGACCTTTCAGTTCACAGGCCGACGCTCTATCCACTGAGCTAAACCGGTTTTGGCACCTTCCGATACACTTTAGCTTCATCCTCCCAAGGGCCTTAAAAGTTAACAGATTTTTCTCGGATATTATGAACTCCAAAAACACCTTAAGCCCCAAGGAAGCCAGTAGGACCCACTTTCTAGGAGAAAAAGGGTTGATTTTTTCCCCTGTGATTAAAAAGAGAAACAAGTGAAAAAGAGTGATTTACCTGGAGTCACAGGCAGTCACTAGCACAAGCTGAAATTCTGATGCTCAGTCTTAACTCACCCACATCGGATCCTGGAGTGGTGCTGAGGGGCTAACGCCAGGGCCTGGACCCACCTCCTCTGGGTTACAGACTGATGCTGGGCCAGGGCCCCTTCCCCACTCCGGTGGGCTGGGGGGCAGCTCTCAGTCACAATGCGCCCGGGTCACAGAGGTGCTGAGCCCTGGTCAGCCTCTGCCTGGAAAGTACCCTCTGGGAACATCTTCCAGTGGGTACTTTGGGCCTGATTCCAGGCCCTATGGCCTGTGGAACCTCACCACTGGGGGGAAGGCTGGGCCGGAAGGAGTCATCAGCTGTGGTGCCGGCCCCATGGGGGATGTGGAATGGATGCAAAGACTACCCAAGCCGGAAGACCTAAGGGTTGGGCTCATCAGCTGGGCAGGATCCTACCTAACCTATGAGCCATATAAGAATGTGGTCACTACCACTACAAAAGGTTTGGGCAGGAGACAGGTAACAGAGTAAACCCGTCCTGGAACCATTTCCTCAGTGGCTAAGCTCTTATGTGGGGGGGAAGAGAAGGGAGTGGGGCGAGTTCACTCTTATTTCCCTGGCCTCTGCCTAATTACTTTCCTGGCCTCTGCCATAGCTAGCTCAAGACCCTTCTACCCTAGGCTCTTGCCCACCTGTCTCTATTGCTCCATCTCCCTGTCTCTACACCGATTCCAGGAGGTGACACTCAGCCCTGGCCTTGCTACTTGGTCTAGCTTTGGATGTCCCCTCGCCTGCATTCCAGCACAGAGTGGGCTGTGTCATCACAAAGAGGAGAGGTGGAGAGCCCAGGCTGGAAGGCAGAATTTGGGGGATCCAACAGTTAAATCAGTGGATACTGCAAGACTATGTTTTTGTTCTGGTTGTAGTGTGGAAATGGGGTACTCTAGAAAACCTAGGAGAGTTGGTTCTCATTGTAGAGAGAGATGTAGGCCCTTCTGGGATGGAACTAAAATCAAAGCAGTAGTGAGATCCTCTCTCTGGTTTATAACAGGGTTGATCGCAGCTAAAGCATCTCAAGTATTTGTGCTCCCTGACTCATCCCTGAGCCAGGCCTGGCTGTAAGAGGTCTTGCTTTTCTCGTGCCATGTTCGGGGGTGTCCTTTGGGGATGAAAGAGTTGGCTGAGTGTGCTATTCAGAGGCAACTGTACAGAAGAGAGAAGTAAGACTTAAGCCAAAACATTTCTTTAAAAACCAGGTATTCCCGAAACCGGTTTGGCTCAGTGGATAGAGCATCGGCCTGCAGACTCAAGGGTCCCAGGTTCGATTTCGGTCAAGGGCACCTACCTTGGTTGTGGGCGCATCCCCAGTAAGAGGTGTGTAAGAGGCAGCTGATGGATATTTCTCATCGATGTTTCTAACTATCTCTCTCCCTTCCTCTCTGTAAAAAAATCAATAAAACATTTTTTAAAAATAAAAACTAGTTATTGAAGAAAGTGGTCAAGGAAGAAAGGGAGGTTTACCTTCCATTAGTTGGAGAAAGTGGGCATCCAGAAATTCTCTTGGGATCCTGAGAAGCTCTGTGGCTCTAGTGCTGGAGGTGTCCTGAGATCTTTTGATTACTGTTAGATGAGAGAGTAAAGAATCCAACATCCAGGAGACTGATAAGGAAGGGGAAGTTGGTTGATCTAGGCAAACTGCGGCTCACAAGCCACATGTGGCTCAGGCCCCTTGAATGTGGCTCTTCCACAAAATACCACGGCCTGGGAGAGTCTATTTTGAAGAAGTGGCATTAGAAGAAGTTTAAGTTAAAAAAAAAAAAAATGGCTCTCTCTCTTGCCGAAACCGGTTTGGCTCAGTGGATATAGCGTCGGCCTGAGGACTGAAGGGTCCCAGGTTCTATTCCAGTCAAGGGCATGTACCTTGGTTGCGGGCACATCCCCAGTGGAGGGTGTGCAGAAGGCAGCTGATCGTTTCTCTCTCATCGATGTTTCTAGCTTTCTATCCCTCTCCCTTCATCTCTGTAAAAAAATCAATAAAATATATTTTAAAAAAATAAATAAATGATCAGGTCAAACTTAATGACACTAGACTTATTAAAAAAAAATTGGCTCTCAAAAGAAATTTCAATCATTGTACTGTTGAAATCTGGCTCTGTTGATTAATGAGTTTGCCGACCACTGGCTAGGGTGGTGCTGGAGGAGAGGGTTATAGGACTCCTTGGTCTGATCACTTGCAGTACTGATTTCCCTCTCCTCCCTCCCAATGCCTCCAGACCTGGGAGATTCTGGTCAGCAATGAGCATGACACGCAGGCTGTGGTCCGGCTAAGGAGCTTGCAGGGCCTCTACCTTCTGTGTGAGGCCGATGGCTCCCTGTGCTATGACCGGCCAAGGACGAGCCACCATGGATGCTTCCTACTCCGTTTCCATCGCAATGGCAAGTGGACCCTCCAGTGCATCATCAGTGGTCGTTACCTGGAGTCCGATGGCCAAGATGTGTTCTGCAACTCCCGGGTCCTCTCAGCTTACCACATGTGGACACCCCGGCCAGCCCTGCATGTCCACGTGATCCTCTACAGCCCCTTCAACCACTGCTATGCCAGGGCCGACTCCACTGTGGGTCGTGTCTGGGTGGACACACCAGTTCCCTGCCTGGCGGAATGTGGGTTCCTGTTACATTTCCAAGATGGATGCTACCACCTGGAGACATCTACACACTGTTTCTTGTCCCACTTAGACCGGCTGGTCTCCAAACCCTCACCACAGACTGCTTTTCACATGCAAGTGAGGCCTGGAGGACACGTGGCACTGAGTGACGGAGAAGGGGGCATGTTGTATGCACAGGGCTCACGCCTGCTCCTGGGCCTGGGCTCCAATCCCCGTAGGGGCGAGGAGTGGTTCATCCTGCAGCGTTGCCCCACCTGGGTCAGCCTCAGGGCAAAGACTAGGAAGTTCCTCTCTGTCGTCTATGGCAAGTGCTGGGTCCGATGCAGCCACAGGGGAAGGGAGGGCTGGCTACTGAAAAGAGAAAAATGTGTTTGGGATTAGTGAGGAGTTTTGAACTTACTCTTAAGGAATATCTAGGGGTCCTAAGATCTCTGTGCCATGGAGAAGGGCAATAAAGCAGGGGTGTGGGCTTTAGGAGAAAGGGTCCTGGGTCGTCTTCTAGGGTCCAATAGAAGGTGAAGAAGGACAAGGAGGGAAAGCAGAGGGAACGCCAGTCATAAAGTGTAGAGAATGGGCTGAAACTGAGGATGAGACCAGACTTGGGCTTATTATGACATATTCTTCCTCTGCAGATGTTGAGATATATGCTGCCTCTGAGCACTTAACCCCAATGTCGTTGTTCCAGCTTGAAAGTATCAATGACAGACCCATTCTGCAGCTTCGTTCAGCCAATGGTTGCTACCTGGCCCAGGTAAGACATTGGCTTTCTGAGCAAAATAATCTTTAAGCCCTAAATTCTCTCTCTAGACACACTTTATCCTTCTTCAAGGCAGATGACCAGATGGTAAAGGCCCTTGCCAATAAACATTCATTTTTACCCAATGGGCCAAGAGTCATCCAATGAGGCCTCTTTGTTATCGTTGTTGTTAATCCTCACCTGAGGATATTTTTTTCATTGATTTTTAAAAATATATATTTTATTGATTTTTTTACAGAGAGGAAAGGAGAGAGATAGAGAGCTAGA